TTTCTTTCTTTCTTTCTCTCTCTCTCTTTCTCCCTCCCCTCCCCTTCTGTTCCCTTCCCTTCCTCCATTCCCTTCGTTCTTTCTTTCTTTTTTCTTTCTTTCTCTCTCTCTCTCTTTCTCCCTTCCCTTTCCTTCGTTCCCATCTCTCCGTCCCTCCTTTCTTTCTTCCTCTCTCTCTCTCTCTCTCTCTGCCTCTCTCTTTCTCCCCTCCCCTTCTGTTCCCTTCCCTCCCTCCCTCCCTCCTTCTTTCTTTCTTTCTTTTTCTTTCTTTCTTTCTGTTTTTTTTTTCCATTATAGAAGATACAAATGTTGATATTCCCAGAGTAGCAGGACCCAGACTCTACCTGCCAATTTTATTGGCTTGGATTTTTTTCCTTCCTTTCCTTCTTTCCTTCCTTCCTTCCTTCCTTCCTTCCTTCCTTCCTTCCTTCCTTCCCCAAACCTCTTCTTCAACCAACTAGCCTTCTTCAATACCCCACATCGAGCTATTCCAATAAACACACTAAAAATCAGCCAACAAACCTCAACAGAACTACGGTAGTTGATCTTTGAGTCCTAGAGAGCTGAAGACCAAAAGGATGATCAAACACACTCACCCCTATAATCCATTTCTCAGCACAACAAAAAAAAATAATAATCAAGAACTACACAACCACTTTTACCATAACCACAATAATCACCCTTATCCTCCCCTCAATCTAAATGGCCGGAAACCCCGCAACCGAGACCAACTAAGAATCACTAGACTAGAAAACAGTACTACCGATAAATAAATGTTTGTTTATTTCATTCATTCATTCATTCATTCATTCTTTTTCATTCATTCATTCGTCCAAGTTCTTTCTCCATTATAGAAGATACAAATGTTGACATTCCCCAGAGTAGGACCCAGGCTCTACCTGCCAATTTTATTGGTTTGGGCTTCCTTCCTTCCTCCCTTCTCATCTATCTGTCTGTCTGTCTATCTGTTTACCGGTACTTTATATCCTGCCTTTATGATTTTTGCAAATAACTCAGGGCAATGCACCGTCGGGATGCTGCAGTGGATGTAAGCGTGAAAAAAAAAGTGGTCCTAAGTTACTTCTTCTCAGTACGGCTGCAACTGGAAGAGTCTCTAAATTAATGGCTGAATATCAAGATCTGTATTTATTTTATTACGAGCGTACAGTTTTATTTTGCCGATTCCTTGTCAGAGGTAATTAGCCCCCTTACCTTCCTGGGGTAATTGCCTGGATCGTGGCATTTTCCTTGTGTATACCTTTGATAAAATAAAACCGGAATACATCTTCTAATAAACTCATATTTATTGTAAAGAAAATAAAACATCTAACTATCTAAAAATGTAATTGTGACATTTTTGCAAAGGTCCTATCGGCTACTTCTCAGTAGCCGGACTTTTCTTGGCAAGAGAAGAAAGAAAAGTGTGACGTGGAAAGAAAGGAATGCGGATACACGTAATTAGCTTACTGATAACAAAAAGTTGGCAAGCTACGGAAAGTCTGACAGTCCAGAAATAATGAGCTCTGCTGGTAAATACAAAAACGCAGTGACATTCCTATTCTATTTACTATTTTTATTTATTAGATTTTTTATACCGCCCCCTCTCCCGAAGGACTCGGGGCGGTGAACAGCCAAGATTAAAAAACATACAATATAAACATTAAAATACGTTTAAAACAGAATTAAATCCAAAATGGCTCCCCAATTTAAAATGCCTTACCCATGACCCTATAATTAAAACAAATTTAAAATTTCCACATTTAAAAAGGGGGAAGATTTAGGCCAGGCCAGCTTGATGAAATAGAAGAGTCTCCTGTACTGTGGGAAAAGATTGGCCCATGTTTTCCTCCCAATGGGAGTAGTTACCTCTTAGACCCGTGATGGCGAACCTATGGCACGCATTCCAGAAGTAGCAAGCAGAGCCCTCTCTGTGGGCACGCGTGCCAGCCAGCTGGTCTTCGTGGGCACCGGAGCACTGGAAAACAGCCTGATAACGGCCTGAAAAAACGGCCCAAAAAATGGTTATTTTCAGGCCTTTTTCGGGCCAAAAACAGCCTGAAAAATGGCCGAAAACAGCCTGAAAAACGGCTTGAAAACAACCCAAAAAGTGGACTGAAAAACCGCCCAAAAACAGCCTGAAAAACTGCCAGAAATGCCCCAAAACCAGGCATGCTTATGCCGGCCAGCTAGTCTTTGGGTTTCTGGTGCTCTGGCGTGCAAATGCATGTATGTGCCGGTTTGGGCACTCGGTGCCTAAAAGGTTCGCCATCATTATCTTAGCTCAGCTCCAGCGTGCATGCATATGCCAGCCAGCTGATTTTCAGGCCTTTTGGGCCCACCAGAAATCGGGAAACGGGCCGTTTCTGGCCTCTAGGGGGTTGGGGAAGGCTGTTTTCACCCTCCCAGGCTCCTAGAAAACCTCTGGAGCCTGGGGAGGGCAAAAAACAGGCCTACCGGGCCCACCGTGCCATCGCGGGCCAAAAACAGTGGGAGCGCGGGGGGGGTCGTACGTGCATGCACAGGGGGCGGGGCACATTGAAGTATGGGTGTGGGCACGCGTGCGCTCCACCCCCCGCACTCCCCTCCACTCTTGGCACCCGGCGGCAAAAAGGATAGCCATCCCTGTCTTAGATCATTGAAAAGTTTGATGCCTCTTTTTCTTTTCTTCGTTGATCAGAGTGCCATGATGCCGGCTCAGCTGTTCTTCAAGACCGAAGATGGGGATAGCTACCCTGTCATCTTCAAACACGGGGATGACTTACGTCAAGATCAGCTCATTCTCCAGATCATTTCGCTGATGGACAAGGTGACGTTTGGTGGTATTGAGCCCTGACCATGTTTGCAAACCTAGTTCGTTCCAAGAGGAGATGGAAAGGCGGGGGGGAAATCTGTTAAATATTTAACAGAGATGGGAAGGGACTCCATCCCACCCAGAACAAGCATTAAAGTTGTGAGAGTCCTTGATGCTGTCTGAGTGGAGGGTTGGACTAGAAAACCTTCAGGGTTCTTTCCAACTCTGTCATTCTGTTATATCTGCTACTACAGTAGTGATCAAAATCAACAAGGGACAATGAAAGTTACAAACCTAGCGGAAATGGCAAAAATCTCGGCGTACTTGAAGGATCATTCAAATGAAAGATATTTAAGAGACTGGAGAAGATGGATAGATTATATTCAAAATAAATACCGGAATAAGAAATTGCAGATAGGTTATGAATGATTATATAGATATTTGGTGTGTCTTTAAGTAATAAAGCTAGACAGGTAATTAGGGAATTGAAGGAACAAGAGATGTGGAATGTCATAATTATTTAGACTAGGATTGATTATGATTGTTGAAGGTTATACCCTGTAATTTGTTCTGGGAAGGGGAGGGGGGAGGTTGAGGTAGGGAAGGGGGGGGGAATATGTAAACTTTTTGTAAAACTTTTCAATAAAAAAAAAGTGATCAAAATTGTTGAAACCTTTTGGGGAAAGTGTATTTTTGAGGTTCGATGGCTAATAACACCACTTTTTTTTTTTTTTTTTGGAGTTTCAAGATAATCCTCTTCCACTGCTGGAATGGCCTGGGAATAGCCCAGACCTTAACCCAATTGAAAATCTCTGGAGCTGACTAAAGACTGACTATTGTTAGTCAGAAGCGACCCAGCAATAAAACCTAGTTAATAGAAGCCATCATTCAATCTTGGTTTCCCATTGTAAGCTGCAGAACTAAAAAAACTTGGTTCACTCCATGGGAAGACGTTGTAAGGCCATAATTCATGCTAAAGGTTACCCAATTAACTGACGTGGGGATAATTTTTTTGTATATCTTGTTTTTTCTATGGTGATAATTTTTGCATATCTCGTTTTTTCTACTTTTCTTCTTTATACTGTAACTGCTATTTTAATAGCAAATCCTTCATAAAAGTTATTGCATCACATTCTTGATTAAATTATCTTTCCATTGATATATAATTTTATGGGACTACTCCAAAAAAAAAGTGGTGTTATTAGTTAGTTTTAGAAAATATACTTTTCCCAAAAGGTTTCCACAATTTTGGCGACTACTGTATATAGGGCACACCAGAACAACTGGACAATATATGTGTCAATTTAATTACACATAATAATAGTAATATTTATTTATACATTTTAATAACCTTTCAACTTCTAACTTCTACCTCTGTTATTTAACCATTGATAGAACAAACCCCAGTTAAAACAATATTCTGTATCTTCATTGTCTTTTATCTTTAGTGTTAACCTATCCATTTCTGCACATTCTAGTATATTTTTTTAAAACTATATTTTCATCTGTAGGAATTTCCTCATTCTTCCTGTGCTGTGCAAATACAATTCTCGCTGCTGTCACTTATCTTCTTATGACTATAACTTTGTTGCTTGTATCTTTACGATTTATACCGCTTTATTTAGTTTCTTAGTACGATTTATGTCGATTGCTTATTTAGTATCCTAATGACTATCGCTTAAGTGTTGTATCTTACGATTTAGGATGAAAAAAAAAAATCTAATTCTAATGTATTTTTACAATGACTACGATCGTGATTGATCGCATTACAGCTTTTATGTACACTGAGAGTTTATGCACCGGAGACAAATTCCTTGTGTGTCCAATCATACTTGGCTAATAAAGAGTTTTATTGTTGCTTGCAAATGTCTCATCACGATCACCATTTTTATCCTTAGCTCTTACGCAAGGAGAACCTGGATTTGAAGTTGACACCCTACAAAGTGTTGGCTACAAGTACAAAACATGGTAAGAGGGTTTCTTCTTCCATCTACATCTTCTCCCTGTTTCCCCTACTATAGGTCCATGATGGCGAACCTATGGCACGCGTGCTACAGGTGGCACGTGGAGCTATAACTGTAGGCATGCGAGCATTGCCCTAGCTCAGCTCCAGTGTGCATGCACGCGCCAGCCAACATATTTTCAGGCCTTCCGGGCCCACTGGAAGTTGGGAAATGGGCCGTTTCTGGCCTCTGGAGGGCCTCCGGGTGGAGGGAAGGCCGTTTTCACCCTCCCCAGGCTCCTAGAAAGGCTCTGGAGCCTGGGGAGGGTGAAAAAGGGCCTACCGGTCCCACCAGAAGTCGGGGAAACAGGACATTTCTGGCCTCTGGAGGGCCTCCGGGTGGAGGGGAGGCCATTTTCACCCTCCCCAGGCTCCTAGAAAGGCTCTGGAGCCCAGGGAGGGTGAAAAACGGGCCTACCGGTCCCACCAGAAGTTGGGAAACAGACCGTTTCTGGCCTCTGGAGGGCCTCCAGGTGGAGGAGAGGCCATTTTCACCCTCCCCAGGCTCCTAGAAAGGCTCTGGAGCCTGGGGAAGGTGAAAAACGGGCCTACCAGTCCCACCAGAAGTTGGGGAAAAAGGCTGTTTCTGGCCTCTGGAGGGCCTCTGGGTGGGGGGGAAGCCGTTATCACCCTCCCCAGGCTCCTAGAAAAGCTCTGGAGCCTGGGGAGGGCAAAAAAACAGGCCTACTGGGCCCACCGTGCCATCACGTGCCAAAAGCAGGGTCATGCAGGGGGGTCACGCGTGCATGTATGGGGGGGCGGAGCATATTGAATTATGGGTGTGGGCATGCACGCACGCGACCCCTCACGCTCCCCTCGCTTTTGGCACGTGACGGCAAAAAGGTTAGCCATCACTGCTATAGGTAGTCCTTGATTTAGGACCACAAAGGAGCCTTTCCATCACGGTCATAAGTTGTAACACAGACGCTTTGCAGCAGTCATAAAGTAAACACTCCGGTTCTTAAGTAAACACCCTGGTTCTTAAGCAGACACTGAGGTCGTAAAGCAAACCTGCAGTCATTAAGCGAAGCAATGGTTCAGCCAGTGTAGACGTGGTTTTGTCAAAAAGAATGGCTGGTTTTTAGCAGAACCGTTGTAAAACGAGGTCGCGTGACCACAGGATACCACAAATAGCCAAGAACGCAGGCATGTTGCCAAACCACCAAAGTTCGGGTCTTGTGAATGCTGAAGGGGAAGGGCGAACGTCGTAACTTTGAATCTGTGTCGTAAGTAGAGGACTTCTATCGTTTGAAAGTTCTCGTTCTCACAGAAGCCATTCCTCTTGGAACATGGAAAACGATATGATCCTCTTTCAAACACCTCCTTCTTTATCTGCTCTTTGCTTTCTCCAGATAGGTAGTCCTTGACTTACAACCATTTGTTTAGTGACTGTTCGGAGTTACAACGGCACTGAAAAAAGTGACTTATGACCGCTTTTCACACTTATGACCGTTGCAGCAGTCCCATGGTCACCTGATCAGAATTCAGCTGCCGGGCAACTGACTCATAGTTATGATGGTTTCAGTTTCTTGGGTTTGGGTGATCCCCTTTTGCGATTCTGACCTTCCAGTTGGGGAAGCCAAATTCACTTAACAACCACATGATTCACTTAACAACCACACAATTCACTTAACAATCACACAATTCACTTAACAACCACATGATTTACTTAACAACCACACAATTCACTTAACAAATGCATGAGTCACTTAACAACCACATGATTCACTTAACATAGTTACACAATTCACTAAACAACTGCATGATTCACTTAACAATCACACAATTCACTTAACAACCGCATGATTTACTTAACAACCACACAGTTCACTTAACAAATGCATGAGTCACTTAACAACCACATGATTCACTTAACATAGTTACACAATTCACTAAACAACTGCATGATTCACTTAACAATCACACAATTCACTTAACAACCGCATGATTTACTTAACAACCACACAGTTCACTTAACAAATGCATGAGTCATTTAACAAGCACACAATTCACTTAACAACCACATGATTCACTTAACAACCATATGATTTACTTAACAACCACACAATTCACTTAACAAATGCATGTTTCACTTAACAACCACACAATTCACTTAACAACCACATGATTCACTTAATATTCTCAGTGTGCCCAGAGAGAGGAATACCTACCTCTACCTAGGATCGAACTCACAGCCTCCTGATTGTGAGGCGAGAGCTCCACCTCTAGGCCACCGCACCACTCACCTTCTGTCACTAAATGAATGGTTGTCAATGGAGTATTGTTCTCTTCTCACCTTGCAAAAGAATATGTTTCTATTACTCTCCCTTGAATACGAGCCTGAAATGCAATAAGGGGCAAAACTTGAGGTTCTTCTGAGCTGTGAGAATCCTGTTTTTCTTTCTGCTTCTCCAGGTTTCATGCAGTTCATCCAGTCGGTACCGGTGGCGGAAGTCCTCGCTACTGAAGAAAGCATCCAGGTGGGTCTTCTGACTTAACCAGGGTTGGAGATGATGGAGGTTGAACCCTGGTGGCGCAGTGGTTAGAATACAGTATTGCGGGCTAACTCTGCCGACTGCCAGCAGTTCGATCCTTTTTCCCAGCTAATTTTCAATACTGTAATCCTATACTCCATTTCTAGACGTTTACTTTTTTTCTCCACTAGGTGGCAGCAATACACCAACCTTGGTCACTCTCAGAAAGCTAAGCAGGGTCAGGCTGGGTTGTTATTTGGATGGGGGCCACCAGGCGATATCTATGATGTGGGGTAGATTGGGAAACTGAGAACTACCCCAAAAGAAGTTTTTGGCCAAGCTATTCCTTATAATGGTATGGATGGGTTTACAATATCACCAGAGGTCAACCTGCCCTTAGAAGAAATTTCATTTTTTCCACTTTTTAAATCTTTTCTATTGCTCCCACTGAATTCACTTCTCCAGAAAACTCATGCTTCGGGTTAACCCCATCCTTAGTCAAAGCAGTGATTTCCGTAGGGATGAGCATGATGGGATTTGTAGTCCTGCACACCCCAGAGATCATCAAAGGGGGTGGGAAAGGGGCAGTGGTGAAATGTAAAATTTGTTACTACCAGTTCTGTGGGTGTGGCTTGGGGGGGTAATATGACTGAGTGGGCGTGGCCAATTTTTTATTTTTTTTTACTTTTACTTTTTTCTACAAACTCTTCGGCTGAGGTTGTAAAAAAAAAATGCTTTTAAAGCCTCTGACGATCCCAGCTGACTTACCTGATTGGCAGAGGCTTTCTTTTTTTTTTTTTTAAAGCCTCTGACGATCCCAGCTGAGTTGCCTGATCGGCAGAGGCTTTTTTTTCTTTTAAAACATTTTTTTCTACAACCTCTTCAGCCGAAGAGGTTGTAGAAAAAATGCTTTTAAAAGCCTCTGACGATCCCAGCTGAGCCACAGGATCATCAGAGCCTTTTTTTTCTTTTTTTTACTTTTAAAAGCATTTTTTCGGCCAAAGAGGTTGTAGAAAAAATGCTTTTAAAAATAATAAAAAAGCCTCTGATGATTGCGTGGCTCAGCTGGGCAATTGGGGGGGGCGGGGGGGGGCAGGGATTTTTGCTACCGGTTCTCCGAACCACCCGCCTCCATCGTACCGGATCAGGTGATCCGGTCCGAACCGGGATCATTTCACCCCTGGAAAGGGGTGATCTAATAGGTCACTGATACCGAAGTTTTTAAGTTTTGTTCCCCCAAAATTGTCTTTCTATGCTCAGGTAACCCATATTAGTTGTATTCATGAAACAGAATGTGTCAGTTCTAAGAACAAAATCGTGGGAGCTACTTTTTAAAACCAAATTGTTGTTAAGTTATAATGCAGAAGCTTCTTACTGATTTGCTAGTATACCACATTTGTTATTTTTACATAGAACACAAGGCAGTGAATATATTCAAGACACTTTCCTTCTCCTATTTTCTCCACAACAACAACAACCCTGTGAGGTAGGTTGGGCTGAGAGAGAGTGACTGGCCCAAAGTCATCCAGCCAGCTTTCATACTTAAGGCAGGGTTAGAACTCCCAAGTCTCCTGGAGACTGGCCCAAGATCACCCAGCTGGCTTTCATGCCTAAAATGGGATTAGAACTCCCAGTCTCCTGGTGATTGGCTCAAAGTCACCCAGTTGGCTTTCATGTCTAAGGCAGAACTAGAACTCACAGTCTCCTGGTGATTGGCTCAAAGTCACCCAGTTGGCTTTCATGCCTAAGGTAGGACTAGAACTCACAGTCTCCTGGTGATTGGCTTAAAGTCACCCAGTTGGCTCTCATGTCTAAGGCAGAACTAGAACTCACAGTCTCCTGGTGATTGGCTCAAAGTCACCCAGTTGGCTTTCATGTCTAAGGCAGAACTAGAACTCACAGTCTCCTGGTGATTGGCTCAAAGTCACCCAGTTGGCTTTCATGCCTAAGGTAGGACTAGAACTCACAGTCTCCTGGTGATTGGCTTAAAGTCACCCAGTTGGCTCTCATGTCTGAGGCAGAACTAGAACTCACAGTCTCCTGGTGATTGGCTCAAAGTCACCCAGTTGGCTTTCATGTCTAAGGCAGAACTAGAACTCACAGTTTCTGGTGATTGGCTCAAAGTCACCCAGTTGGCTTACATGCCTAAGGTAGGACTAGAACTCCCAGTCTCCTGGTAATTGGCCCAAAGTCACCCAGTTGGTTTACATGCCTAAGGTGGGATTAGAACTCTCAGTCTCCTGATGATTGGCTTAAAGTCACTCAGTTGGCTTTCATATCTAAGGTGGAACTAGAACTCACAGTCTTGTGGTGATTAACTCAAAGTCACCCAGCTGGCTTTCATATCTAAGGTGGAACTAGAACTCACAGTCTTGTGGTGATTAACTCAAAGTCACCCAGCTGGCTTTCATGCCTAAGGCAGGACTAGAACTAACAACCTCTTGGTGATTGGCCCAAATTCACCCAACCAGATTTCATGCCTAAAGCAGGACTAGAACTCACAGTCTCCCGCTTTCTAACCTGGCACCTTAACCAATAGATCAAACTGGCTCCAGACTTGTCTATTTTATCTTTACTTTACTGTATTTTGGGCTGACTCAAAGCTGGATTTGCAACTGTGAGCCTCTTTCCCCGTCTCGTCATTTAAGAAAAAAATGCCATTAATGTATGTTTTGCCATTCACTTCTTGTATCTTAATTCAGCATTGCTTTGAATTGCTAATGCTATTTAAATTTTGCAATCCAGGCTCAGAAGGGAATATATCCGCATTTGGAAGCATTTAACCTTCCCTGTAATTATGCAGTTTCTGCACCTGAAATTTGATGGGCTCCTTTAAAAAGTCCCAGTGTGTCTCTTAAAAACTCTGATTTTAAATCTTTCCATTGCATTATGTTGGTTGCAAGCTAAACACTACACTATAATACTTCTTTTTTTTTAAAAAAAAAAAAAGTTTTATTTTCTTCTAATACAAACATTTCATCATTCATTAAACAGTGTTTCGTCTGGGTACAAATTTTTTGTGTCACAACAGTTAAAGCTTACCACTATATTCATTATTTATACCTACTCTTATTTTAATACTAATACTTAATACTTAACGTATCTATTGTTGTAACATATCTATTGTTGTAACATTTCTCTTCTTAACTTATTTAACTTTATTATACCTTGCTTTCATATTTGTTCTCTAACCATTCATAAAATAAATCCCATATATTATAGTAATCAGATTCTTCCTTTCCTTTAATTGCAAGTGTTAATCTATTCATTTCTGCACATTCCAATATTTTCTTAACCACATTTTCATCCGTAGGAATCTCTTCACCTTTCCAATTCTGTGCAAATACAATTCTGGCTGCAGTTATTACATGAATAATCAAATATACTTAAGGGAATATATTCAGTTGGCCTGACTGGTCATTGCTTAATTTGATAGTCTATGGAAATTCTCAGTCATCCAGGTCATGGTTGTCCCAAAAATGCTTTTTCAACTGGACTTTCTTTTTTTTTTTCCTTTGAAGTCATTTTGCTTCTCACCTAAGAAGCTTCTTCAGCTCTGACTGGATGGCAGTGATGGAAGGATTTATATTCCTTGCAGACAGCTGGTCATTTGCATCCTTTTAGAGGGTCATTGAGGCCACTTGGAGGTTTATATGTGTCCTCAGAGTGCTCATTTGCACTACTCAGGTGACCCTGAGGACTGTTCTGTCCCCGTCTCACACACGCACCCCCACAGACAGGCAACAGTTAAAGAACTCAGCCGACAACAGTTTATCCGGTATCAGAATTGGCAGCAACCCAGTGACTGGCTGCCAGGTATTCTTTACTCACGAGGGGGGAGTTTCTCCCTTCGTCCGGGAACAAAGCCAATACACAATAATCAACAAAGTCCAGTAAATACAAAGAAGGTCATCCGATATCCGTTTTTTGCTTGTCACAGAGCTGAACCGGCCACCACACCCTCTTTTATACCCTGTGGGGTGTGGTCCAGTGACTCAGCCTAATCCCTGGCAGGCCTCTTCCTCTGCTGCGCGTGCTTATCTCTGCGACACTGTCGAGGGTCCAGCCAAGACTCATCATCATCATCATTACTGTCCACCTGCGGCTGCGTGGAAGTGCTTGGCCCCGGCCCTATCTCTTGCCCTTCGGAAGATACCGGAGGCATTGCCAGAGAGGAGGGTCCTGGAGAGGGAGGCCTTGCCAACTCCTCTCCTTCACTCTCGGAGTCCTCTCCTGCCGATAACACAGGCTCGGTGATCGGAGCCACAACAAGGACACAGAAAAACCTCCAGGTGGCCTCAACGACTCTCTAAAAGGATACAAATGACCAGCTGTCTGCAAGGAATACAAATCCTTCCATTCCCCGCCATCCAGTCAGAGTTGAAGAAGCTTTTTGGATGCGAAGCAAAACGTCTTCAAATTAAAACCAGAAAGTCCAGTTGCCTCTTGAAAAAAAAGCACCTTTGGGACAACCATGACCTGAGAATCTCCATAGACATCTTAAAATGTACCTCCTCTAGTGCTTTACAGCATTCTCTGGATGGTTTACAAAGTCCGCGTATTGCCCCCAAACGGGTGAAAAACCAGCAGGTTCTGACAGGTTCTGGAGAACCGGTAGCGGAAATTTTGAACTTTCTTAAGGCAGTGGGAGCTATAAAACTCTTCCAAAGAGGGGAGAAGGGAACTAATGATCCTCTGGGCAATGACGTTGACCCTCTGTAGTGCTGTCCTATCTGCCACTGTGCAAACCAGACACAATCAATCAATCAATCAATAGAACTGCAACATTAAGACAAGGTGATGAGTTTTCTCCATGATCCTTTTATCATCTTGGGCAGGGGTCTGCAACCTTAAACACTCAAAGAACCATTTGGACCTGTTTCCCACACACAAGAAAACACCAGGAGCCACAAAAACCCTTCCCGTGCCTGACTATTTCTTGAGCGGCCACAAAACTAGCATATGTAACTATGAAAAAGAAACAACCTATTTCATTATACATATGATAACAGCAGCACAAATACTATACGCGCAAGACTGGAAGAGTAGTGATATACCAACACCAGATAAAGTAATCAATAAAACTATGGAATGTGCGGAATTAGATAGACTCACAAAGGAATTACAAAATAGGGAAGAACATGACTTTTACTTAGTATGGGAAAAGTGGTATAGTTGGTTGAAAGATAGGAAAGAGATGAAGCAATAGGAAGTAAATAAAATGACCAAATATAATATGATGGAAACAAAGAACAGACATAGGTCAACAAAGATCAATATTAGATAGATAAAAGGGAATGACTAAATAAGGAAGAGTCAAAATACAAAGAGAAATGTATATTATAGTTGCGACAAACTGGACATGTATTGAAATGGGTGTTTATATGTTTTTATGTTTTGTACGTTTCATTGTTCTGTTTAGTTTATACTTATAAATAAAAATTGGAGAAGAAAAAAAAACTAGCATATGTAATTAAATTAAACGTTTTGTTTTCTTCTGAAACGTCTTTTCTTGGATTTATCCATGGTTGGCCTACTGGAGGTTGAAAAGCCCAATAAATCGTGTGCCGGTGGGTGTTGCACCAGGGCGGATTTGATTTAAATCGAGTTGATTTAAGTCACAATTTAAATCATGATTTAAATCACTAGTAAAAAGGCTTGATTTAAATCAACTCGATTTAAATCATAATTTTTAAAGAGCAACTGTCATCTCTGCTCCTCCTTTGACCCGCTGTTGACTCACCGATAGTCCCAGTGTTGCAGAATATACAGCCTCATGCTACATAACTAAGCTCCATTTCATGCTGAATAAACTGAATTATTTAGGTATCTTAAATAGAAAAGTATCTTACGATAGATTTTTACCCCAAAAGTTTTTTATTAAAATGAATTCGATAAAAATCAAAAAAATCCGATTTAAATCAAAAAAATCCGATTTTTTTTTATTTTTTTAAAAAAATCATTGATTTTTATCACCCTGTGTTGCACATTGGCAGTTGCGACACATATTTTGAATGACAGGGAGCCGCAGCAGAGGGGTGAAAGAGCCACATGTGGCTCCAGAGCTGCAGGTTGCTGATCCCTGATCTTTGGGATTCATTTTGTGCTGGGCCAAAAAATTCAGGTAGTCCTTGCTTTACAACCATTCTCATACGGCTCATCTCACAACCACATTGCTTAGCGACGGATGTCCCAGCCCCAATTGTGGTTTTAAGTCAAGGGTCACCTAGTAAATCTTCCATCTTGTTTTTGTAGAACTTCTTCCGGAAATATGCTCCGAGTGAAAATGGGCCCCATGGCATCAGTGCGGAAGTTATGGACACCTACGTGAAAAGCTGCGGTAAGCATTGGGGCACAGTTCCATGGGTCTGTCTGCAGTTCAGAAGACAGGCAAGTAACTCCCTGTATTTCAAGTAGGGGTTTCCTAAAAACTCTGCTCTGCAAAACTTATGGAGAGATTGAGAATCCTTAGAAGCTGTGGGAGATAATTTTTATTTTTTAATTTGATTTATATGCCGCCCTTCTCCAGAGACTCAGGGCGGCTTACAATGCGCTAAGCAATAGCCTTCATCCTTTTGTATATTTATACAAAGTCAGCTTATTGCCCCCACAAACTGGGTCCTCAATTTACCTACCTTAGAAAGGATGGAAGGCTGAGTCAACCTTGAGCCTGGCGAGATTCGAACCTGCAGTAATTGCAGGCAGCTGGTCTTAATAACAGGGTGCTTTAGACCACTGTAGTACCAAGGCTCTAATAGAATAAAAGAGTTGGGACAGGGGTGAATTGCTCCCGGTTCGGACCGGATTGGCTGATCCGGTAGCGATGTGTTGTGGCCCGCCAGTGGCCTGCGCGGATTGTGGCTGATCCTGACGAGGCTGGTGTGGTGTCGCGCAAACAGCCTGTGCAGCCGGCACTCGAGTCAGACAGTGAGGAGGCTGAAGAAGACGTGGTGCCAGAGGCAGAGATTCAGCCAGGGCCTTCAGAACCTCCAGAGGCTCCTTCAAGTGAAGAGAGTGAAGTGGAGGAGCCTTTTCTCAATGCACAAGCACGCAGGCAGGCAGGCAGCCAAAAGGCAGGAGTGGTTACTCAGGAGGAGGTCTCCTCGAGTGTAAGGCTTGGGGCTAATTGGCCACTCCCTTAGCCTATTTAAGTTTGCACACAGCTGGCAAACAGTTGCAGGAAACAACGTATGTTCGTCCGGTTGCTCGCTGAGCATTTGAGAGTGAATTTCGGGAGTCCTTCGGGAGAGGGGGCGGTATAAAAATCTAATAAATAATAATAATAAATAATAATAATAATAATAATTTTCCTTGCAAACCTGGTTTCTGGGCTAATTACCAACTCTTGTAAGCCTTTATCTAATCTTTGGAATTCCTGGCAGGCTGTTAAGGACATTTTTAGTAATAGCCTGCATTTGAAAAAAGACTGTTTGTAGTTAAACGGAGTTGTTTGGAGTTTTGTGTGTGCTACATTTCTTGGGTTCCGTAGCTGGGGCAGAACACGATGGCGGCGGGTGGTTCGGAGAACCGGAAGCAAAAATCCCTGCCCCCACCTCTCCCGCCCATGTCCACCCAATCACCTGGTCGCCCGCTTGCCGCTGAGGCCCGCTTCCCAGCTGAGGCGCGCGATCGTCAGAGCCTTTTTTTTTTTTTTACTTTTAAAAGCATTTTTTTTACAACCTATTCGTCCAAAGACCAGCCCCGGAAACCGGAAGAGCAACGGGCAACGATTGGCGTGCCCGGAGAGATGGCTGTGTGTGTGCCACTTCCGGCACGCGTGCCATATGTTCACCATCACTGGGTTACCACATGGTGAAAGAGGAACTGTTGCAATTACCTGTCTCTCTTCTTCTTTTGATACTAAAATGGAAGAGAGAATTCATCTTAATGGCTACATCTGCCCAGGTTTATTCATTTATTCATTTATTCATTCATTCATTCATTCATTCATTCATTCATTCATTCATTTATTTATTTATTGGTTCAATTTATATGCCGCCCTTCTCCGGAGACTCAGGGCAGCTTACAATGCGTTAAGCAATAGCCTTCATACTTTTGTATATACCTGCTTAGTAGGGCTTTCGGCCCCCCCTTAAGCGGTGTTCTTTTTTATACAAAGTCAGTTTATTGCCCCCACAAACCGGCTCCTCATTTTACCTACCTCGAAAGGATGGAAGGCTGAGTCTCAACCTTGAGCCTGGTGAGATTTGAACTTGCAGTAATTGCAGGCAGCTGGTGCTAGTTAACAGCGCTTTAGTCTGCTGCGTCACCAAGGTTAGAGAGGCCATTGGTTGAATATTACAGGATATTTAAAATCTCTGTGTCAACTGTCCGGTTGCTCATTGGGGAATTCATCAGTATTCTAAATATGGCTTTACTTTAATGGGTTGATTACTAATAGCCTTTTTCCAGAAATGATAAATTACCATATTTTTTGGAGTACAAGACACACCTTTTACCCCCCCAAAAAGGGGAGGAAATTTGGGCGCGTCTTATACACCGAATGTAGCCCTGCCCACCCACTGGCCCCCACCCTATGTCCTCTGCTTCCCAGCAATTTACTTCCTTGCAGCAAGCAGCAAGAAAAAACAGCCTATTTCAGCTTCAGCACAGCCTAATTAGCACAAGTTGATTGTCTGTTGGATCGGCCTCCCGACTCTCAGCTGTTTCAGGCTGCAGATATTGCCATTGCCTATTGCTGTGTGGGCCTCTGCTGCTTGCTGCAAGGAGGTAAATTGCTGGGAGCAGATTTTTTTCTTGTGTTAATCAAGCTATGCTGAAAACGAAACTGAAAGTAAAGCAGGCTATTAGCTGTTTGCTGCAAGGAAGCAAAATTGCTGGGAGGCAGAGGCAGATTTCTTTTTCTTGTTTTCCTCACCAAAAAAGGAAAATGTGTTTTATGTCCGGAGCACCTTATACCTCCAAGAGTAGTGAATTTGCTCAAGGAGTAGTGGAAACAGCTTGTATGAAATCTTGGGCTAGAAATTATGGAATTTGGGACATTCGGTACACTCTGAATTTGGTCGTTTTCTTGTAGACGTTTCATTACCCAACTAGGTAATATCATCAGTGCTATCAAAGGCCCTTGGAGATCCTTGGTGCATTCTGAGTTTGATCGTTTTCTTGCAGACGTTTCATTACCCAACTAAGTAACTTCATCAGTGCTAGTAAGGACCTCACAGGTTTCTGACAAAATAATCTAACTTGCTTCAGTTTGGTTTTGATCTTCAGGAGTTATAACATTTACAAAGAGCTATGCTAATTTTTTAAAAAAGGGACGCGGTGGCTCAGTGGCTAAGACGCTGAGTTTGTCGATCAAAAGATCAGTTCGAATCCCTAGTGCTGCATAACGGGGTGAGCTCTTGTGACTTGTCCCAGCTTCAGCCAACCTAGCAGTTCGAAAGCACGTAAAAAATGCAAGTAGAAAAATAGGGACCACCTTTGGTGGGAAGGTAACAGCGTTCCGTGCGCCTTTGGCATTGAGTCATGCTGGCCACATGACCACGGAGGCGTCTTTGGACAGCGCTGGCTCTTTGGCTTTGAAATGGAGATGAGCACCGCCCCATAGAGTCAGGAAAGACTAGCACATATGTGTGAGGGGAACCTTTACCTTTACCTATGCTAATTTTGTTTCGTTTTGTTTTAATTTTCAGCTGGGTATTGTGTGATCACATATATACTTGGAGTTGGGGACAGGCATCTGGATAACCTTTTGCTCACCAAGACAGGTAAAGAATTCACTTTTTTGGGGAGGGGGGCAAATGTTGGGGCATCTTCCCTGTGCGAGAAAACCATGTCCTTTTGAAATTGTGTCTTTGCCTACGAATGCAAGTCTCATTAAAGCGATGTTAAGACTGTTACGAAATTGCCTGAAACTATTGGAATCGCATAGCATAAAAAAAATATTGCAGGATTTTGCAAAGGAGGCAGAATTAACAAGCCATAACTTGTGGATTTAACCATCCCAACATCTTAACAAAACGGGACAGTTGTAGCGTTCAGCCAGCAAACATTTGCAGTTTCATTTCCATTTTGCTAAATGCTTTATTTGGTCACTTATTAATTTTATATGATTTCTCTGTCGCCCCCCCCTAGTGTGATTTGGGGCAGGGACAAAATACACACAAAAGATGAAATTGCAATCAAAGGATGAAATTGATAAATAAGATGTCATCCCGCCCCCGTTGGAGTCTGAATCTGTGGGGGAAGATGAGCTGGAACAGGAGCCGACATGGATCGAGAGGGCGGCTCCATTGGCCTTGGAGAAAACTGGGGAAGGGCAGAGTCAGTATGGGGAGGGCTGTTTAGGATTCGAAAGGCCTGCAGACAGGGAGGAGCAGGAGAGACAGAACTCAGGCGAAGAGCAAAGATCATCCCCTCCTGATCCTAGAGCACGGAGAGAAGAGAGAAGGCGAGAACAACGCAAATCTATAGGTGAAAACAGTGTTGGACTTTTGAGTTGGGCTCTCCATAGCTCAGATCATCCTGGCTGTGTTCACGCACAATGCAAAACCGGACCAGTGACAAACTGAGGAGCTGCACTTCAAGACTATGTCAAAAACTTGGTTATCTGTCTGAAACAATGGAAGGATTGATACTCGGTGCATTTGGCGTGCACCGTGCATGTATTTGGCGTGCACAACGCATGCACAGTCAGCAAATCAATGGCAAACTGGGGAAGATTTCACCACTGGCATAAAGGACATAAAATACAGATCATTTTGTCATTTTGCTAGGCATCTGGACTCCCGGTAGACCAGACTTATAGATGTTAATAGGAAGGAATTGTACGGCAAGAACTTAATAGAAAGGGAACTCGGCTAGGAGAAAAATCAGATTAATATCATAATTGAAGATCCGATGGAAAGGAAATAACCTCTTTATTCAGTCTTGACTAATATTATGGTCAATACTTAATTATCTACGGCTAATGCATGCTTATTAAACATGCGCTGTATTTGGAAGGCAGCAGAGTGTATAATAGCTACCGTTTGTCGGTACATCTTTAACAATCTTACAAACCCAGCGATATAATTAACAGATCTCGAAATTGTGTGTGTGTGTTTGTGTATGTGCGTCTGTCAAGTGCCAATTAGCTATCTTATTTTGTAAAGAAGAAATTAGGCAGATTGGAAATGGTGCCGGCGTTATTATAAATCTTTTTAGGAGGTTTATTTTCTTCGGCCCATCTGCCGATGTCTCAGAAACGTTGGCTTGGAGGACTTAACGGCGGTGATCCAATTGTCGCTGCAAATGTTTTTCGAACTGCTGACACCAGTTGCGCCAAACATGTGTTTATCATCCTCTTTGCACAATGATTAAGTCTGCGTAACACAGTGAATCTGGTTCCTCCCTCCACCCGTTCACTGGTTTTGAAGAAGATGCTGGGCCATGAACAAATTCAAATTCAAATCTTTATTGTCAGTGCACAACATATGTACAGTGAGATTGGTTGAGCTCCCTCAGTGCACCTACCCTCCCCCCCAACACAATACAACTCACAGTGAAGAAAGAAAATCCCTAAATCATATTCACAAAACACCCAGTCCTATTGCACCAGTGTGAACATGTTACACATTGCGCCAGCCCTGCAGTCCATCGTACTACATAGTTATGACACTATTTCTCATTCAGGAGTCTGACAGTCCACAGATAAAAACTGTTCTTCAGCCTGTTTGTGCATGCACATACACAATACGCACCAAAAACCCGCTTAGCAAAGAAAAAGGAGGCTTGGGAAAGAAGAACCATATTATTAACTTAGGAGCTCTAGAGATTCACAACCGTGGCAAGAGAGGTCGTAAAAAGGGGCAAAACTGACTTTAACAAATGTCTCACTTAGTGTTGTGGCCCGCCAGCAGAGCTGGAGGCAGACTCGGACAATGAGGAGGTTGGGGAGAAACTTGGGCCAGTTCTGGAGCCCGGGGAAGGCTCTGATGGATGCTCGGCGTCGGACACAGAGATAGAGCTAGGGTCGTCCGACATTTCCCAGCCAGAGAGGCAGCTGCCTTTGGAGGCTGATATGAGTGAGGAGGAGGAACAGCTGGGGCCTGTTCCAGATGCGGGTATGCGCAGAGCAGATAGGAGAGGTGAATAACGGAGGACAATGAGCCAGCTCTGGAAACAAAACAACCGTGGACGCTGACTGGTCCCTCCCTGGCTGGGGAATAAATAGGAGGAAACGGGCGTGGTTTGGTTGTAGCAGACAACCGTTCGCATTTCTGGAAAGTTTGCTTCTTGTGTGTTTTGTGCGACAAAGACTGCCTTGCCAGAACTGAGGTTTGTTTATTTCTCTGTTTGAAGTGACTTACCGTATTTTTCGGAGTATAAGACGAACTTTAGTTTTTGGGGAGGAAAATAAGAAAAAAGCTGATTGGCGGGTGGATCGGCCTCCTGGAATACCCCCAATCAGCTGTTCCCAGAGGAGAATTTTAGCAACAGGTTCCTTGGTTGTGAGCTCTGTGCCTTGCTTTTTTTTTTTTTTTTTTGCTTTTTTTTTCCTGCCTCTAAAACTTCTGAAACTCCGTTTCAGAAAAAACTTTCTTTTCTGCCTCTGAAAGCCTCCAAAACAGTTTCAGAAAAAAAGCCTCTGAAGCTCTGTTTGGAGGCTTCTTTTCTGAAGCTCTGTTTGGAGGCTTTTTTTCTGAAGCTCTGTTTGGAGGCTTCTTTTCTGAAGCTCTGTTTGGAGCCTTTTTTTCTGAAGCTCTGTTTGGGGGCTTCTTTTCTGATACTTTTTTTCAGTCTCTGAAGCCTCCATTCAAGAAACTGGGTGGGACTACATTCGGAGAATAAGACGCACCCAGATTTTCACCCTCTTTTTTGGGGGAAAAAGGTGCGTCTTATACTCTGAAAAATACGGTAATTTGCAGCCTCCTGGCTGGGAGCTCACAGCCTTGCATTTATCATAAGGAACTGATAAGGACTATTGTTTCAGTTAACTCCTTGCAGGACTCTTGCCTGGACTTTCTGTTGGTGAATGCAGTTCATTCCCAAGACGTAAATAAAGAGGGGTTTTTTTGTTTGCGGGGAGCCTGTCTGCTGCTTCTGCAAAGGGTCAGAACACTTAACAACAGAGATTTTAGACTCAGTTGTCATCCTAATTCGAGGATTACCTGTACAGGGATAAGCAGGACAAGGCTAAACTATATGAGTTATCGAATTCATCCTTTTATCTCCTATTGAGAACTTTCTTAAAAGCCCATCAGAGATATAATTTCTGCTGTGCGGGATCCAACTTCCTACACGGACATATTTCACCCCGCATTCATTTATCTAACAGAAATTCCCAGCATTCATTCCATACGGTTTGATTTAAAGATGAGATTTTATTTTTATTTTTAAAAGCAGAGTCCCACAAGAATCAAGTCTGTTGCACCATATGGAACTGCCTTGGGTTACTTTCGCTATCGCTCAAAAAAAAAAAAAAATATCCGGTAAAGGATATTACTCACACAAAGCACAGCGCATAAAACAAAACTGTTCCGAACCAGCAGGCTTTGATCTATGTTGTAAAATCACACGAGTTCTTTAATTACGAACATTTAGAGAGATTCTTCTCACTGCTAATTTATGTTGAGCCCGTCCTCATGATGAGTAGAGATCCATGCTTTTTATATGGGGGGGAAAAAAAGAAGAAGGGAGACAACAGAATAAGTCCTGAGACTGTAATTATACTTCTCATCCAGCTCGGTACGGTGCGAATCAGAGCCGTTAATTAATCTTAGGGATATATTTGCATATGTAACTGGCACGGTAGATCTTGTGCACCGATACATTTCCAAAGCCATCAGATCAGCAAGAAGGACTGTCGCAGAAGAGGGGGAAAAAAACGGGTGAAATGCTCCCGGTTCGGATCGGATCACCCGATTCGGACCGGATCACCTGATCCGGTAGTGATGGAGGCGGGTGGTTCAGAGAACCGGTAGCAAAAATCCCTGCCCCACCCCCCATTGCCCGGCTGAGCCGCGCAATCATCAGAGGCTTTTTTTTTTTTTAATTTGATTTATATGCCGCCCTTCTCCGGAGACTCAGGGCGGCTTACAATGCGTTAAGCAATAGCCTTCATACTTTTGTATATTTTATACAAAGTCAGCTTATTGCCCCCACAAACTGGGTCCTCATTTCACCTACCTTAGAAAGGATGGAAGGCTGAGTCAACCATGAGCCTTGGAGAGATTCGAACCAGCAGAAATTGCAGGCAGCTGTGTTAATAACAGGGTGCACTAAACCACTGTACTATCAAGGCTCTTCAATTTTTAATTTTTAAAAGCATTTTTTCTACAACCTCTTTGGCCGAAAAAATGCTTTTAAAAGTAAAAGAAAAAAAAGGCTCTGATGATCGCGCGGCTCAGCTGGGATCGTCAGAGGCTTTTAAAAGCATTTTTTCTACAACCTCTTCGGCCAAAGAGGTTATAGAAAAAATGTTTTTAAAAGGAAAAAAAAAAGTTGGCCATGCCCACTCAGTCATATTACCCCCCACACACACCAAGCCACACTCACAGAACCGCTAGTAACAAATTTTACATTTGCGTCCCTTTTACAGTTGCGTCCCTTTCTAGATCGGGACTCCCTACACACGGTCACTCATGCCCTCGTCACCTCTCGTCTGGACTATTGTAACGCTCTCTACATGGGGCTCCCCTTGAGGTGCTCTCGGAGGCTCCAACTGGCGCAGAGTGCGGCCGCGCGGGTGGTTATGGGAGCAACGTGGAGTTCCCATGTAACACCT